AACAACTATGCTCAAATAATAACTTTCCAAATAGAAGCTGCAATCACGTGCTCATTGTTTCTCTTGAGGTAGTTCCATTAAAAATAACGTGACATGGACATGACCCTTATTGCAAAATCCCAGTCCTCATGGAAATGAAACTGATACCCTGGGATGTCTATTTCAGAGATGTGCTACTTTTTAGCAGGGCATATTATCTACTCTTAGGAACTAAAAACTCAGTGCTTTTCCTAATGTTCCCTGCCTCATCATCAAATCAGATTAGAACTGGTATTTCTCCATCTACTAGCTTCTTGGAGGGATTTACTCAGCAGAGAATCTGGAAATATATGAAGAATCTTCAAAAAGTTCATGGAAAGATTTGTATTATCTTTGAATTCTATTTTTCCACAAACTTTTTGAAGTACCCTCATATTTGCAATAGCTCACAAGCATTTTGAAAGAAAAGTAGGTATTGTTCTGGTTATGATGCCTAAAATATTCTTGTGGCCAACAAAGGAACTAGATGGACTCGTAAAGAAGCCAGTCACCCCTCATTTTATGGATGAGGCATCTGAAGCTTAGACTTATCAAAAATAATTCTGAGCATTACTGATATAAAGTTGAGTTTCCAATTCATGGTCATATGGCAGCAATACAGAGTTATGAAAAACCGCATTTCTTAAACTTTCATACAAATCAACTGTGGGTTTTGTTAAAATGCAGATTCTGATTCAACGGGTCTGAGGTGGGGCCCGAGATTCTAACAAACTCCCTGGTGTTACCCATGCTGCTGGTCCCTGGACAACATTTTGAGTAGTAGCAAGGGCATGAAGAACATTGATGTGAGTTCAAACACTAGTTCTGCTGCTGGGAGACTTGGATCAAGTTAATTCCCCTTTCTGAGCCTCGGTTCCCTCATTCATAAAATAGGAATGATAGACTCTACTATGCAGGGTTAAAGTTAAATGACAAAATTTATGCATTTAGATAACACTTCCTGGCACACGATAAGAAATTGTTCTCCTAATTCAGTGCATATTCTACTAACAACCCCCCCCCCCCACTTCAGCCAGGCCAAGNGAGCCTATTCCTGACAGAGCCATCAAAGGGTGGGGGAGCAGAATGGCAACAGAAAGTGGCCGGGAAGAAAAATAAATTGATAGGTTTGTCTGGTTGTTTGTGTCTCTGATGCAGTCGGTAAAAATGGCCAAGCCTGCAATGTGTGAAGACAGAGCCCAAGAGAAAGAGAGTGGCCAGAGCCCTTGTACCCAGCTTATCCACTCATCACCACAAGATACAAGAGCCAATATACCCGGTTCATCTTGAGAAGGATGCAGGGCTGTCCGGTAGAGTATCCAAAAGTAGGGTCCTCCAGACCAGAGCAGTTCTTCAGGGAGGAGCGCTTGAACTGGCAGGCCTTCTTGTCCTCATCCTCATCGCCGTCTTGGATGAAGTACTGACCCGGTGGACAATCTACATTCATTTCCTCTTGAAGACTGTCATTATAACCTGAAGCGTGTGTGGGTGGCAAAGGGTCATGTTAGACAGGTGCCGCGCGGGAAGGCCTTGTTTTCCGTAGTCCTCGCTCCCTCCCTTCCTTTCTCCAGCTTTCTTGTATTCCTCCAGGGGGGTACGCCAGGTAAGGCTCTGTCACACCTAAGGCATGGCAGGAGAGAAGAAAAATGCATATTTAATGATATAAGAACTGTCCCCCATCGCACCCCCATGTGTTCCAGACAGCTCAGGAGCCTATTCCTGACAGAGCCATCAAAGGGTGGGGGAGCAGAATGGCAACAGAAAGTGGCCAGGAAGAAAAATAAATTGATAGGTTTGTCTGGTTGTTTGTGTCTCTGATGCAGTCGGTAAAAATGGCCAAGCCTGCAATGTGTGAAGACAGAACCCAAGAGAAAGACAGTGGCCAGAGCCCTTGTACCCAGCTTATCCACTCATCACCACAAGATACAAGAGCCAATATACCCGGTTCATCTTGAGAAGGATGCAGGGCTGTCCGGTAGAGTATCCAAAAGTAGGGTCCTCCAGACCAGAGCAGTTCTTCAGGGAGGAGCGCTTGAACTGGCAGGCCTTCTTGTCCTCATCCTCATCGCCATCTTGGATGAAGTACTGACCCGGTGGACAATCTACATTCATTTCTTCTTGAAGACTGTCATTATAACCTGAAGCATGTGTGGGTGGCAAAGGTTCATGTTAGACAGGTGCCGCGCGGGAAGGCCTTGTTTTCCGTAGTCCTCGCTCCCTCCCTTCCTTTCTCCAGCTTTCTTGTACTCCTCTGTATTCCTCCGAAAGCTGACTCAGTCTACCCTAAGCCCTGTGACCTGGCATCAGGTGCCCCAGGGCCTTCATGGACAACATCCTTCTAGGAAGCCTTCCTGGCTAGTCACCTCAGCCCACTTTGAATGTCCACCCCCCGCTTCTCATTTCCTTAGAACTTCTGGATATCCATCTCTGGGTCATACATTGGTCATGTTAAAACTTTCTTCTATTTTCCATTATCTCTTTCCAGATGTGCTAAATGGTAAACTTGGAGGGCTGCCCCTTCTACTTCTGGGAGAGGAATAGGCACATGGTTGGTAGACATTGGAAGAGGGACTGAATCATGTCAGGGCATGGCGTATGTAAGGAGGCTAATTTCCTGGGTTAAATCTCCTGAAGTTCAGCTTAGGAGACATCTCCCCTTGAGGCCCATGAATAAGAGGCACCTGATGTAAGACAGTGAGAAGTATGTGCTGTGGGACAGAAGGAAAGCGGAAGAAGAGGAAGAGGAGAAGGAGGGAACAAATCAGTCTTCATCCTTTACAGAGGGCAGTTAGCGCTTCCAAGTAGCAGCCGAGGTTGAGAGACACAAACCAGCGATAACCACAGGGTTTCCACCGAGAGGCTGAGGGGGTGAAATCCTGTCTACTGAGACCTGAGGCACTCAGGGTTAATGTTCCTTTGCACTGGGTGGAATGCAACACATGTCCAAGGTACACACATCAGGGAAAGAGCTGAAAGGGGCCATCTGTAAGCTGACTCTGGGCTACCAGATGCCATAAAACTGGGCTTGGGGAATTACTCCATTATTTCCAATTTGGTTCTAAATGATAGAGCCCCATTAGTCCTACTAGACTCCATGTAATCATGTTTGAAGTAGCTCTGTTTTTCAGAAGAGATTGTGCACCTATAATTCACCAGAAGTGAAACTTAAAATGTACTGCTGGATCCTATCTAGACAGGTTGTGACCTGGGTTTGATATTATTAAGAAGCTACTGGGAATTTAAAATCCATTTCAACCATGGCTATGCTTTCATTTTTCCTTTCACAAAGCCACATTTAATTCAAGATTCAATTCAAGGCTTTGTTTTCATCTTTTAATTTTTTTAAGAACAACCCCCCCCCACTTCAGCCAGGCCAAGACAACCAAACCAGTCTGACTGCCCTCCCCTCTGCAAAGATTAGGTGCAGAGATGCAAACCCCACTGGGGCTCCTCTTTGATAGCTGGATAAATACAGTACCTGCGTGTTCTGTGTTTAACCTTAACAAAGCTGCTACCTCAGCTGTTACCACATGGAAGGGCCTCTCACAAAGCCATTCATTTGTCCCTGAAAATTTAGCTGATGATGCTATAGAGATAGATATCTTGAAAGCATTTGGGATCAAAACATTGGAGTGACTGCCACCCAGAGATTCTTCCTCTAACTCCTTTCTGGAATGCTTTTAAGTAAAGACACTTTCTCTATCCCTCTTCAAGACAGCCCATCTCTGAGAAATGAATTCTCCTACCTTGAGAAAGTATAGGAGGCAGTAATCTTTCCAGCTCTGGAGAACACTCTCCTTTTCTCACCACTATCTCCCCCCTTTCTGGAATGCTTTTAAGTAAAGACACTTTCTCTATCCCTCTTCAAGACAGCCCATCTCCGAGAAATGAATTCTCCTACCTTGAGAAAGTATAGGAGGCAGTAATCTTTCCAGCTCTGGAGAACACTCTCCTTTTCTCACCACTATCTCCCTTCAGAGTTATCTTTTATAAATTATCATTATTGAGCCACTTGGATGTGCTCAGGACTTAACTAGGTGCTGTAAGGGTGTTCAAGAAGAGAAAACAAGTTCTCTGCCTCAAAGAACTTATCATCTTGCTGGAAGGTTGGTGTGTATGCTTTCAGGGCAACACACAATCACACACTGGAGAAGTGTTGATTGTATCTACAGGTGTTGAGGGGGATGGAAGGTAAGGAAAGACCACGATGGGTTGGAATTAGTAAGACTGGGATTTCTGGGCCAGGTGAATTTTGAATTTTGAATTTTGAATTCCCACCCATCACCTTTCAAAAGAGCTTTCCACCATTCAGAAGAACATACTTACCCTGGAGAAAGCCATTTAGGCTGATCACATAATGCTGCCAAGTGTCAGGTTCAGAAACGTTGAAGTTGAAGTTAAGGCTATGGGCGAAGGGTCTGATCATAACTCCTGGCAATAAAAACAGGTCTTGGATATATTAACCCATTCTTGGGATAATTTTTTTGTATCGATTCCCACGAAACCATTTCCCCCCAGGCAATCAAAATGAAAAGGACCACAATTTGCCAAGTACCATTTTACTTTTACTCTTAATAATTGAATCTCTAAGTCATTACCGGGAAGAGCCAAAGTTAATTGAGGCTGAACATGCTGTGCAAGCAGATTTCTGTCCAGCAAGTTCTGACAACACAGGGCATTTGGGCACACTCACCAGGAGGCTTCATCTGCTCAGTGAAGGTCGGCATGTAAGGACTGATGGTCAGAAATAGCGTGTACATGCAGAGAGTGATCACAGCAGCCAGGGAGGCATAGAAGAAGAAGTAAATGACTAAGATCAGGCCTGCAGAGCAATCAAAGATGAGAGTGGTCAGTGCTTGCGAACAGACCCTGCCTCCCCACTTGAACTCCTGAACCAGAACCAACCCAAGCATGAGATGGCTTTTTAAAAAATTTCCCAGATTCAGTATGTCCTTGCTCATTCAGATTTTACCAATTTGAAATCTGTGAGAATTGTGTCAGGGGTGTGATTGTGGTTTACCTTTACAGCATCTCCGTTGGAAGGGCTTGCTGAGCAAATGATGGCCATGAACAATATTACAGGGGAGTGGAGTTTTAAGTACTGCAGAGGGCAAATTGCTTGAGAGTCCTCTGGGCAACCGTTGATGTCCTAAGTACAAATCATTCTTCGCTATTCATTAAAGCAGGTGCCCCGAAGAGTCCTAGCAGCTTGGTTCCAGTGATTGTATGTATTTGCAAGTGATGAAAACAGCATTTCTTTTCACAAAGTCTATAATTCAAACTTTTGATTAATTTCCACCAGACCTGCCTCTAATCAAGGCAAAGTGAGGTTTTATCCTACTTATTTCAAATCTTATTCATCTTTAGCAAATGTTTAAGTGGCTCTGCTTTTCAAAAAGAACACTAACACAAGGTGGGGAAGGGAGAAGGAGGAAATGGTACTTAGTCACTGACACTTGCTGCCTGTAAACTTGGGCAAGTTACAGAATCTCTGCATCCCTGATTCCTCACAGGTAAAATGGGAATAAGTTTAGCACTTACCTCATATCCTTATCTATATCCCTAACAATATCTGAAATTCAGCCTTTCCTTACATCCTGCCCCTACTACCCCACTTCCTAGCTGTTTAATCTTGGACATGCAGTTCACCTTTATGGGCCTCATTTTCCTTATCTGTAAAATAAAGACAATAATAGTACTTCTTAGCATTGAATAACGCATATAAACAGCATAGCACAGAGCCTGGCATGTACTAAGTGCTCTATAAATGGCCATCATCACCATCATTGTTATTACTAATGTTATTATTGCTATATAACCAGATACTTAGTTGTGTGAATTCCCCCTTTGTGGGCTGTATTAGGGCTAGGTTTGCCCCAGTATTAGGCAGCACAGACCAGGGAGAATGAGCGTGAGATTGCTGCTGAGAATCTCTTTTCAAGCCCTCCTTGGGGCTCTCTCAGGCAATAATATTTGGCTCCACTCACAGCAGTAATATGATGTTGGAACTACAGATTTGAATTGAATCATGAACCAGAAACTGGAACAAACCACATAACTTTGCTGTGCCCAAAACTGAATCCAAATATTAAGTTTTTAATTGAACCATGAAACCAAATAAAATTAACCCCCCCCAAAAAAAAGTGGGGGAAGGAAGAAAAACCTGTAGTAATCCAACTGGAAATGGAATTGACTCTTTATGTTTCATAAGATGAACTAAAGCAGAACCTGAACATAAACACATTGATTCAATTGAAGTCCCTGGAGAAGAAACAACAGCACCTGTGTGCCTGTGATAGTTGGCTATTGCCCACTGGCTATCCTAAGGGATGTGCCCTGTGCGTCCTCCTCCATTTCTCTACCTTCATCCCCATTCTGGAAAGGGTTCAACAGCTGGAGTCATCCTGGGGTACCAAAAGACTCAGTCTCATGGATGAAGGCAAAACAATGGAACTCGGGTACATTCCCTTGGAGATATCTTCCTTCTTTCCCCAGATATGTGGCCAGGAAGCTATAGATGGGAGAATTGCACTAGCAATGAGTCCTCTCAGCCTCACCCAGGAGTAGGTACCCTGAAATCCATGATAGACAAACTATCTCAGCCAACCCCAGGCAAAACCAAGCATAGTCCCCATCTGAATCCATTGATTCCTTCAACCCTTTTTGCTCAGGACGACCAAGTTTTACTTGGGCCTCTCCTCTCTGTAATCTAGGAGTCTCTCCTGAATGCCACACCCAGGCTTGGATAGACTACTAAGTACCCATGCTCCCAACTCTTCACTCCTCCCATCAAAACACCCCATCAGGTCCGGAGGCCCTGCCTCTCAGGGACTTGTTCATTGTTAGAGTTCATGAAGATAGTGTTCTGGCAAGAGAATAAACTCTTGTATTCATCCAACCTGGGCTTGAATCCCAGCACTGCCACTTAGTAACTGTGTGACTTTAGACAAGTTACTTACCCTCTCTAAGCCTCAGTTTCTGCATCTGTAAAATGGGGATAATAATATTACTACCTCATATGGTTCTTGTCAGTATCCAATAAAATAACATATAGTTCCTAAGAATAAGGGTTGTCCAGCTATCAAAGGAAAAGCCCAGAGTATACTAACAGGCTGGGTAAATAATGTTGGGCATGTTGATGTCCAGGTTGGGACAGAGTTAGTAAGTGCTCAGATGGGGCACTCAGCTCTCAGGAAAGAGGGCAGCAAGGCATGTGCTTTATGGCCTAGACATTAACATGACCATTTTCCCTTTGGGCAGGAGTAGCCCAACAGAAGAAGGCTGAATGCCTGGGTGCTCCTTAGACCCTCTACCCAAAGTTCCAGCTATGGCCTACCACACAGTGTCCCCACTGCCATATCTTCTCTGGGCACTTGAATCTCCCTCCCTCATCCCCACTTATTGGCCTATGTATTGTCATCCACAGGAGCAGTTTGAATGAGCTCATCTGGTGAAGTTCCAATGGGCTGGCTGTTTAGGGGTTAACGCATGGCTCCCCCTCCTAAAATCACACTTGCATTTCACAAGGCCTGTTTTTCCAATCCTCTTTAGGCAAGGGAGAAACAGCTGTGCACCTTTTGGAGTCCTAGTGAGTGTCCAGCATTTGTCTGCCACTTCCAGAATGTCAGAATGTCCCTTAAATGGTACATTTGTTCCAGTCAAGAGTTCGAAGGATAGTCAGGGGTGGGGCTGGGAACTGAGGAGGGGTAAAGGGAGATGGGTGTTGTTCAGAGCCCCACACCTGCCATTCCTAATTCCAGGAATCAGAGCTGGCTCTTTTGCTCTGGATGAGCTGAATTAGCAACATTAACTAAGAGGAAGAGCATTCTCAGCCAAAGGGGTCTTTAGAGGCATCACTATCAACTCCAGCAGCATAGACCCTTGGCACTAGTGGACTCTTATTTCATCCATGGTGTCCTCTAATTGTTTTCTCCTGTGGATTAACTGAGTTTCAAACCAGCAGCTGCTATTTTTCTGGGCTGTGTAGAGTGTGGCAAATGTGAATTTTACCACAGGCTGTGTCTTAAGGAGAAGGTTTGGCATTAATAGTTTAAGAGGTGGGTAGATCCTGGGAGGAGAGTGCTGGGGAAGTTGTGAAGTAAAAATGGTGGCAGCATGTGGTACAAAAAGAAAGTGGTAAGAAATACAATTCTGCCATTGATCAAGCAACATGGAGGGTCAGCCTTAATCTCTAGTAATGATCCCCTTAAACCTAATTCCTCTGTGTCTACCATGGGAATGTAAAGCACCCCCAAACCGGGGCCAGGGTCAGGCCTGCTGATCTTCTCTGACATCACTAGGTGAAGTAATAAGGCTCTATAAACACTTGGGCAGATTAGCAGGGACTTGGGTCTCACATCCCAGAAATGGTCTTCTGCATAGTACTTTCAACTTTACAATTTTAACTTCTCATTGTAGCCTCACACTAATCCTGTGAGAGAGGCAGGGATTGTTTTCCTCATTTGGCAGGTGAGAAAACTGAGGCTCAGAGAGGGTAAATGATGAGCCTAGGGTCACATGGATAGAAAGTAACAGGGCTGGGACTTTAAAAAAAAAAAAAAAAACTGTGCTTTTTCAACTCACTGTATCTCTCTGCATTGCAACCAATATTGAGCAATGAATTTCAGTTACACATTCAAGTTTGTTCATCCACTTGGAATTTGTTCTGATGGGATCTGTCCACAGTCCAGGCATTTCTCTAGGCATTGGTCCCTTTACATGAAATGCTAAGAGAAGTTTGCAGACAAGCCCATCCAGCGTATGGTAAAGGAGCCCTGGACACCACACCAAAAGCAAAGGACACCAGACTGGGGCATTGGGATGATTGGGACTTACTCCAACTCTGACCTGTTCGGGCCAGAGACATCCTTCTCTCCGGATCCCACAGGTATTCGTTCATGATCTGCAATTTCCTCCACCAGGCATTGCCTGTTGGCTGACCCTGCCCCTCTTCCTCCTCCTTTTTCTCCTCTTCTTCCTCTTCCTCCTCTTCCTCCTTCTCCAGATTGGGCACCACCATCACCTGAGCCTCTTCTTCTGCTTCCTCCTCTTCATCTGCTAAATAGTTCTGGTTTACTTCATCCTGATCATCCTGGAACAGTGACAAAACACAATCTCTTTTTTGAAAAAAATTTTCAACAGCACAACCCATCAGCCAAAAATAAATGAAAATGACTCAATATTTGGAGATGTTTTAAATTTCCATGTCTGCACAAACACACCCATTGTTACAAGAGACAGGTCTTCTTTCTCTCTATTCTTTTGAAGGGAATATCCTTTCTATGACCCCTTTTGACTCAGTATTCTTTTCATAGAGGTGCAAGTTTTATTTTCAGCTTCAAGCATTTGGGCTCTTCCCCTAGACTGCTCATGTCACTACTCTGTCTTTGACCCTTGGCCTCCTGCTTAACTTTGGCCTGTCAGGACAGAACTGAGCTCACACTGGAGGATGGAGTAGACATTTGTGTCCATGATGGCAAATTCCCAGTCCAAGCCAATTTCATCCTAACACTCTGTACACTTTCAGCTGCTTAACCTCACCATCCCAAGTTGTGTCTAAAAATAGCCTGGGACAGACATCAGGAGGAGAGGTTAACTGCTGTATCCCTCCTCAGAACTTAGACTGCCTTCCCAATAGAAACAAGAAACGGGGAGTTATTTGCTGCTTTTATGACTATTGCCCTAGCTGGAAACTCTTCCTGCCTTAAGCTGGTTGGATAGATCACCTAAGAACTGGGATCCAAACCGATACTTCCTTAGTCTCCCCCTATATCCTAGGCAAAAAGCTGGGCACATAGTAAGTGTTCAGCACATATTTGTTGAGTGACTGATTGCAGCCATTACTTGAGATTTAAAACTGTAATCTTCTTTGAGTGGTTCTAAGAAAATTAAACCGAAAAAAAAAAAAAAGAAAGAAAGAAAAACATAGACTTCACCAAGGAGTGTTTCAAATGCCTCCCAGCCACAGGCTGGAGAGTTGTATCTGCTCTTTGGGGGGTTGCCAAGGCTCACTGCAGCAGCAGAAAATGAGTCCGCCCTCCCTTCTCTCTGCTGTCCAAGTTTGAAGAGTGGCAGGGCCTGTGCACCTGTTGGGGTTGGATGTGTCAAATGCTAGAAGCCAGGGGCTCCATGCTGCCCCCTCCCTTCCTGATTCCTCAAAGGCCACTTAGAGGGCATTCAGCTAAAAATGCTCCCTTTGGTGCGGGATTCAGCAAATTGGATCGTTCAGAATCAGTAAAAGTGATACAGAATGACAAGGCTCTACTCTCGGCATTCAGTCTGCCCAGCATTATGTAGCTCTTGATTAATAAGCACTCTCTCATTGCTCTTTAATTTGTTCAAATGTACAGCTCTATATCACATACCATATCAGAACTGACAGGGACCTTCAAGATTTGCAGGTTCATCTGAGGGCCAGAGGGGGATAGGATCTAGCCAAAGCCATGCAGCAAGTTCAAGACAGAGTCGACAGTCTCGGAACCTATGTCTCTCGATACCTTGGAAAATGATGTTTCTCCTCTATCACATTGAGCACGAATGTCTAGAGGTGGCTTAGAAGATTTGTAAAGCACAACACTGTCTTAGTTTTGTGTTCCCAAGAGATTATAGGCGCTTATAATCAAAGATTTCTGACTCTGACACACACTCACACTATAAGACCTAGGAAAATAAACCTTGTCTGTCACTCAATTTTGAATGGATTAATACATATTCTTAAAGCTCTTTCAGTTGTGTATGAACCTATGTACACTTTTGACCTCCCAAACTACATTTTGAGCACCCAGGGGGAGAACCCCTTAATGGCTTATCACAGTGTGAAGCCCACAGTACACAAAGGGTACTGACCAAATATCAATGATAGCTGCCTGACTTAAAATTCCTGATGCAGGATTCTGGGGGAATGCTGTCACTGAACTTACCACCCTAACCTCTGCAGTCATGTGCACTGGAGTGGTGGTCATCACAGCCCCAGAGAATCTACTGCACCTGAGAATCTCAGAATTTGAAGTGTAACATTTCATCACGGAGGAATTTATATTTCCTTTACATTTTATGAACAACTTACTTTTCTCTCCTTGTTGCCTGTGCAACACCTCTGCTCCACGGAGGAGGCAGCTGGCCTTGGCCTCAGCTTGATCTTATTTGTAGATATGAGCCCTCATGATAATCCCATTAAAGATGGCTCTCATTAAAGCTTTACCCTCTTGGGAAGAGTTAATCTTCTCAGAACAAATTTCCCCCCACAGTGCTCATACCTCCTGAGCCTTATTTCAAGTACCTCAAATATTTTTCCTCTCTCCTGCTTCCAGGTATAGGAGAATGTTACATTGTGCAAAAGAGGCCTTCCCAAAATATTTCTCATTAATTAAATACTGTGTAAAATTCACTTTTGTGCAACTATTTAACAAAATCCAGTAGGGAATCCTTTGGTGATACGAGTGCTTATCCCCAAGGTTCTGTTTCCTAAACTTCAGTTTCCTAAAGTGGCACTATTCTCATGTGATAGTGTGTGTGATAGTGCTGGGATATGGTAGTGGGTGTGTGCTGGGGCTGTCATGTTTCCCTAAAAGGGAAGAGTCTGAAGGACAGAGGGTGTCTCCATTTTGAGCAATCTAAATATATAAACATATAAACAAATATATAAACAAACAGTATGACCCAACAGATAAATTTGTGCCCTGCATTGAGTAACACCCTGTAAACATTTGAATGGTTGGTTAATTTTAAGAGAAATTAGCATGTGATTCCATTCAATAATTTATTTTTTAATTTGATGAAGCATTATAAAGAGCAAGATTCCCTGACACATTTAAAATCCAAATCATCTGACAAATAATTGAAATTATACAGTTTAGCAACATTGCATAGAAAAGAAGTCAAGTAAGAAACAGTTATATACGCCTCACAGATCGTGGCTGCTCTGAGAGCTGAAAGGGACTTTGGGAATGACAAAAGAAAGATTCTACAAATTGTGGCTGGAAAGCTAAGGGAAGACCTCCGTAAGTTGATACGGAGTTAGAAGAATTCACATTTTCTTCTGCTGCCTGTTGACAGTCTTCACTTAACTCCCTAGTTATAAGTGGCCATACCCAAAGAAAAACGGATTAGGCATTGTTTCTTCCTGGGGCTCAGATCACAATCCTCTATAGGGAAGAGTTCAGAATCCCTCCTCCCCTCCGCCAAAGTACTGTGTATGTCACATATTATTGATTTATAGCAAAGTAAATGCAAAAAACTTTCAGATCAAATAAATTTGTAATGCACCCTGGAGATAAATGATGGCACCAAAAGGGTGTGTGTGTGTGTGTGTGTGTGTGTGTGTGTGTGTGTGCTGTGTGTGGTAGGGTGGGGTGGCAGGCAGGGTGGTAATGGCAGTTGGCGGATCAGGGGGTTAGAGCATTGCATACTGCAAATACAATGGAAAGAGCATAAGATTAGAGGTAAGGAGACTTGCAGTCTCACTTTGGCTCCTCCACTAACTTGCAAGTCATTCCTGTGCCCTGAACCCCAGAAAATTCCTTTACATAATGAAGGGTTCTGGAGAGATGATGTCTAGGATTCTTCCCAGCTCCTATAGAGGATTTTATGATTTTATCTATAGCTTGGAATTTCTGCTTTAGAAAAAGAGCAGCTGGCTGCTTGAGAAACATTCTAGAAGCTTCCTCAGAAAAAATACATGATGAATAAATTTTTTGTCTTTACATTTTATTAATAGTTTCACTGGATTTAGAATTATAGGCTGCAAATAATTTCCTGGCAGACTTTTGAAGGCATTGATTTTATCTTCTGCTGTTGCTGTGGAAAGGCCAAATGCTATTTCAATTCCTGATCCTTGTATATGACTTTTTTCCCTCTCTGGAAGCTTTTAGGATCCTTTTTTTAATATTATAACTTCTTCACATGGGGTCAATCTGCCATATTAAACAGGACTTATCATGTGTTTTAATTTTGTCTCCCTATGGAGACAGCAAGTATAGCAGAAAGAACATTGACTCTGAAAAGTTATGCCTAAATAGACAGATGTGATTGTTGAATAAAATGATATATGTAAAGTGCCTGGCACATCTTGATATTGATGCCCCATTCTCCAAGTAGACTTATACATCTGAGGATTGGAACCAGGTCTTATATACCTTTATGATTCTCAAAACATCTAGCATATGCTGGGCACTTAATAGATTCTCAATAAATGTGACTTGATGACTTGATGAGTCATAAAAAAAAAAAATAGAAAAAGAGCAGCTGGGCTCTAAGAAGCTTCCACCCAAAGAGACTGAGACAGCTGGGTAGACAGTGTCTTTCATTTCCTCTTCTCCTTCCCTTCTCTCTTGGCTAAATTCTTTGCTATCAGAATGAAACTTCTATTCCCAGACTCCAAAAGGCCTGTTCAAATTCTAGACCCCCAGGAAAAAACATGAGGGGGTTCCTTAGTGTCTGGTATCTTTCTCTTCCCTTATCTTTGTTTCACAGGAAGAGGGCCTTCTTCCTTCAATCCAGCAATTTAGCATGCCCTGGTGTCCTTCTTAAAACCCTGGGCTTCCCTAAATTTCACTGTTTTTGCTCATCACAAGGAGAAGCAGCCATAAGCCAAGGTCTATAAAGCCCCCAACCCACCCCATCAAAAAAAGGGCAGCAAAATATTCTGCTCCCTGGGACTCACAAGTCTGTAGCGATAACCATAAGGAAAGGCCAGAGCCCTTCTGGACCGGAGTTGCCTTCTCATGACTGTTCAGTGGGCAAAGAAGCGGCAGATGCAGAAAAATGGGTGAGAGTTCTGGAGCTTCTGCTGGTACAAAAGACACTGGTTGCTGGGGACACTTGGCGCCTGGCAAAAGTGAACACTCCTGGCATGAGCCCTTCCCCAAAATAATCTGACATGCCCCTCTCTCATTGGTTGGCCCCTTCCCTGAATCAAGGGAAAGCCCTTATGGAAAAGCAAGCTCATCATTACAGGGAGGGGGAGATATTCTGGGTCACGAGGATGAGCGACTCATTCCCCCCCCCTTCATGTGTCTTTCCACCCCTTGCCCTTCTCCAGCGCCTGAGATATGATGGGCCCAATGGAAATCTTAAGTCATATTCTTCTCAATTGAGAGCTGGATATCAGTGTGTGCATGGGGTGGGGCATGGGTGGGAGTTGGGGGTGAGGGGAGATGACCAAGAATAACTTTCTTTTTCCATAAGGCTGATCTCATGCAAAAGGATCTAGTGTGTAAGGAAATATTCCTTTTGCTCCCACCCCCCAACACACACACACTCTGAGCCACCTACAATATTCCTTATTTGTGTCAATCCATGAACTCCTTAAAATGTGGATTATGCTTTATGCTTTCTGATTTTAGAGGCCAGGCTCCTGCTTTACCCTTTCCTGCCCCAAACAGGTCCCTGGACATAAAGAAGCCTTTTTCTAGTCCATGTGTGAGGGTGGCCCCATCAGTCACTGCCCCTCATACACACACCCCTTGGAATCCTGGCCAAATTTCTGTAGTGGTTGAGGTCTATATTTATCCCTTAGCATCAGGGCAGGGAACAAGCCAGAACTTTGCAGTGTCAGTTTCCCAGACATATATAACTCCTAAAGCCAATGTGGGATCAACAAAAGAAAAATTAGTAGAAACAGCCAAGAACATTGAATAGCATTTTTGGTCTGTTTGGTACACCTTCACTGGGTGGCTAAAAGGTCTGGATGGAGTTTGCAATCCTTCTTTCACAAATCACCCCCCATTACACCCAGGTGGCCAAGAATGTTGCAGATACTGAGATTCTGGGCATATTCATAACCAAGAAAACAGCACAATAGTTTAGATAGATAGATTTAGTCATAACTCCAAGTCTAGGTTTGTCTGATGAAAATGGCTTCAATTGTGGTTAATTTTAAATAAGGACTCCATTTACTGTGATGTTACTAATCGGGACTCTTTTTTAACAGAATCTCTCCCCATATCCTTCTTGGGAGAGAGACTACTTACAAAAAAAGACAGACTCATTCCTCTTTTTGGATTTTAATCAAAGCAAAATATATGCCAGATGATATCCTGGTCTTAGTAGATGCTGAACACTATCTCCTATGCCTTCTCTACTCCAGTTTTATGTGATTTCCGATGTTAAATATGATAATCCTGAGGCCCTTGGAAACCTCCAAACCACACAAAGGATAGGTTAACTGGTCTTGTCTTACTAAGGTAGGAAAGAGACTATAGTCATTAAACATTTCAGAAACCAAGAGTAGAGGGACAATAGGGGGTTTGGAGTGACATGACCTCAGTTAACAAAATATCTTATTCTCCAGAATCTCTCATACCCTAACCTTCTGGGTAATTGGGGACTTGATATATTAATACATTTACAATGTATTTCGACTATAACCCAGGCCGCTTTCTGGAATGCCAGCTGTTGGGTGGGGTAAAATAACCAAATCCCATAGGATGTCAAAGACATAAATCTGTATGAGTTCAAACTCAAAAGACTCAAGTTAAAGGAGAAACAATTCCTGCCAATTTTGGGGGGGTTGGGGGGGGAGCAATATGTCCAACAGGGCAGCAGAGTGGAGCCAGAAGTGGCTATGGGGCTGCAAATGAAGCTGTGGCTACAGAGGCATGAGAGGAGGGAGAAAAGAGAGGCTTTGAATATGACAGCAGACTCAAAGGCAAATTATTCAAGTCTATAAAACTACATGCCCATTCCTTGGACACAGGTGTTAGCAGCTGCTTTTATAAGACCCTTGTCCTCATTGCCTGCTTAGGTAAAACCACATAGTTCCTGACAATGGCAACTGGGAACAGAAACAATCTTATGGATTGAGTCCTGTTCCCAAAGGAAGAAAGGGATGGTAGCACCCTTCAGAGAATCTTTGACTTTACCATGATATGGGCTACTTTACGGCATCTGTTCTTGTAGGCCATTTCCACAATTGTGTATAGATGTGTGGGGGGGGGGGCAGGAGTGGCGGGCAATGTGTCCCAGCGTTATCAAAGAACAGTTGTGTACTTTCCCTATCCAGGGATTGGCTAGATCTTCAGGGAGATTCAGGAAAGTCATGTAGTGGAGCTTAAGAGTTTTTTGGCATTGGAGTCATCCAGGCATTGTTGAGTGCTCTCTAGAACCCCAGTCCCTTCTGGCATTCGTGACCTGTGGACTCTGAGGCCACTGGGTAAGGAAGTTCCAGGGTGCCCTTGAAAGCTGCCCAGTATAGGGTGTCCTTTTTGCAGTGCACAGAGGAGGGAGAACTTACTTGGGGCTACAATGATCAGGAAAGGCTTCCCAGAACAGGCGGGGTTTGGGCTGGACCTTCAAGGGCAGTCCTTCAAGCTGGAACAGTTACTGCCTGACATTGATGGTGCCAGTCTGGTCCCCAGTGACCAAAGTTCCTCCTCCCGAACAGCTAGCCTCTGAGTAGTGGCCAGCAGGAGTAGCCAGCAGGCTCACTGATTAAGGCCAGAGGGTTTCTTTAACCTGAATAGCCCAGATAATGGCCCCAGATCCCTACTTCACTGGGTTCCAGGAAGAACCCTCAGCACACCACATTCCTGAGCAGAGTTTCCATCTGTCCAGTACAGTTGTACAGTGGGAGATGCTTTCATTTTGGGGGACTGAAGGCCATGGGTCTGTGACTGTAAAGCCTAGACCCCTAGGGGAAAAATGAAGGCTTAGGAAATTATGAGGTCCTTGTGAAGATTCAAGCCTATTTCCAGTGGCCAAAAAGCACTAATGAGCATAATGCAGGCAAGAGACAGTTCAAATAAACAAGTAATTGGAATTAAGAGAAGAAGTGTGTAGAGGCCCTTAATGAATGGATATGCTAATTGGTCTTCTTTGCTAGCCCCTTGGGCTTTGGCTGTGACATAGACTAGCTTATTAGATGCCTGCTCTGTAATAGCTGCTGAACGCTAGGGCCCTTTATTGCCATGGTAACATTGATGTCTAGAGTCTAGCTGAGCCCTGGATCTCTTAATTTACTACTCAGGAGGCTACAATTCTTTGGGTTTTATTATTCTTCGTGCCCCGGGTGCCAGAGTGGCAGTGAATCATGCTTATTCATCCTCTGCACCGCCCACGGTGTCTTTGAATAAGTCAGGGTGTCTCTAACTGCATGTGATGAGCAGATTATTAAGTTAAAGCCTATTTCTGCCTTAGCTAGACTGGTGCTTCTCAGAAACCCATAGCACCTCTCTAACCACTTACTTACCTGCTGCCTCAAATGGCTTTTGGCAAGCAGAGTGATGGCACTGCAGTGGGCCTGCAGAAGGCCAGCTTCCCAGAAGCCTTTGCTTCCTTGGTGGGCAGGAAGGAGAGTGGCACAATATAGGTGGGGCAGCACTGAATGGGAGAATGAACCTTGAAAACACATGCCATCAAAATGCAGCAGTCAGAAGGGGAGAAGAGTCATTGCAGAAAGGGTCCTGGCTGAGAACTGTGGTGCTAGATGTTTTAGTCCCTCTGGGATAAGGGAGCTGGTGCTGTGTGGAAAAGGCCATCCCATATTCTGAATTACTCCAGAGGAAGGAAGCAGCCCCAAAGGCTAGAAGGTACAGTGGGGATGGATTTTACTTTATTTGATAAGACCTTTGTTTAAAAAGCTGGCCCAGAGACCAGTTGCTTCTAAAAGTTAGTGAGCACTTTGTCACCTGAGCTGCCCAAACGTTGATCTTTCAGTATAGATATGCTATAAACATCCACTCCCAGGGGGTGTGGAGTAGGATGAATGATCTCTTAGGACTCCTCCAACCTTGAAATCTTGTGTACTTATATATGATGCTGTTTAATTTATCACGACACACGCTAAACTTGGACGATGCTTAATATGTACATGTGCTTGATTATGTTAAAATTGGGATGATACTCTATATGTGTGTGTCTGTGTCTGTCTCCAGCCATAAATGAAACTTTGCAACAGGTGCAGAGACGTTTTTCTGACCTCTGTTGCTAAGAAATGGGCAACCTGAAACTAAAGATAAATTGTTCTTTATTTGGGGATTTAAATCCCCAAATTACAAATTACTCTTATGAGCAAGGGAGAGTCTTGAGGTCGTTGATTTTTGTGGTTTGTTTCTTTTCTTTCTTTTTTTTTTTTCCATTTCACTGCAGCATTTGCAGCATTTCACTGGGCATTCTTATGGGAGAATTGGCAGACTACAGAGAGAGAGCTATGGGCTACACAAATTTGGGGCACATTTACACGCTTTTTTTCTGTTTATTGGGAATGGAGGGCGTAGGGTGGAGGTGAGAGGTCTTCTTGAACTAACTAGATTCTAAGAAATGGAGTTTTTCCCTGTGATAGTCTGAACAAAGAGCTATAAACCTAAGGACAGTCAATCAAATGTGCCAAGCACAGAAGGGGCTGTTAGGCAACATTGGTCTTTTCCACCAAACTCTGCAAACCTGTTTATTATCAAGCAGCAGTATTTCCACACACAGAGGACAGTGATATTAATCCAACCCGAACCCACTCTGGATTCAGCAAGCACCAGTTAGAAATCACAGCGGCTCTCAGCTGCCTCTTAAATCAAAGTTGAATTCATAAGCAAGAGCTTAAGGTCTCTCCATCACCAGCTTTGTTCAGTTACTCACTTGCTGTAAGACCACAGGAATGTCAATTGATTTCTCTGTTGCACCTTCTCCCCACCTTGAAAAAAAAATAAGCCCACTGTCTCTGCTTCTTCATTCTCAGGAATGCTGTGGGTCTAGATTTCTTCAGAAGAAAATGGCAAAAGAATTCTGAAGTTGGGTGGAATTATCACTTATTAAGTGTAT